ATGATAAAAACATTTGATACCTAAAACACCCCACATTCTATGTAAAGACCTCATTTTTTTAGATAACAAACGTAAAAACAAAGCATTAAAGAAAACCATAACTATTTAAGGTTAGGACAATACCTGCGATTCTGAAACCAGACTTTGATCTGCTTAGGCTCAATGTTAGAAAGGATAGGGCACTCCCTAATGAGTTGTTGCCTTCTCAGAGAGCTTGGCTTTGGGCATTCTGCATAGACCCTCTCCAAAGCCTCCACTTGCTCTGGTGTATACCTCACATACTTGCTGGCGTCCATTTGCTGCTTGCCACTACTACCGCTACTGTTGCTTTCTCTGTGCATTTGAAGAGCCATTATAGTTAACCCACAAATAAAGTGTGAAAATCTTTGAAAAAAGCTCGTTTTTTTATGATTATTGGTGTGTTCGTGGTGGTTGCATGAACAGGCAGGCTCTCTTCTCACAGAGAGCCTCCTCTCTCACTCATCAAGGCGGTGTGTATTTTTGCAGAGAGGATAACTGAGGGCGATTTTGTAAAGCAGAGAAGAACAGAGAGAGAGTGGGATGGAAAGAGATTTGAGCAGAGAACCCTAGTCTTTATCCTGAAAGAAAATCTCGAGAATTTCAAAGAAAGTGAAATGTAGAGAGAGAGAGTCCATTACTGTATATGCAGTCTACAGAGAGAGAGGGATCAGACAAAAGTGTAATGTAGACAGAGAAACTACTGTATATACTTGAATATACACGAAGAGAGAGAAATTAGATGGAAATGTGTGCAAGAAAAAAAAAAACATAATCGCAAAATGTAATATGTGAAGAATAATTAAAATATGTAGTTAAAAATAAAATTTGTTTATTTATAAATTCTGTTAAATGGAGAAAAAAATATTTATATTTAAAAAAAGAGTAATACTATTCATCCTCAGTGAGGATGAAAACACAGTCTACATAGCGTTAATGTGATATTAAATGATAGGTGAAATTAAATAAGTTTAACCTATCATTTAAAGTCATCTAAGCTGTGTTTTCATCCCCACTGAAAATGAATAACATTACTTTTAAAGAAACGAGAAAGAAGATTAATTATCTGAAGATGTCATGATTAAACGTAAATCAAGATAGACAAAATTGACTTTTACATCAACTCTTTGAAATTGCGATTTAAAAAAATGGCTAGGCATCATTTTCTTGATCGTCTCAATATTTATTTTCATAAAATAGAGGTGTCAAATAGATCTGTTTGCTCTGTAGTTATTTTTATTTTCTTGAAAAATAATAATGGTGATATTACTGGTTGAATTATTTATTAAAGAAAAGTATTTGTACAGCATAGGTAGGAGTAACAGAGATACACAGAACAGTGGAAAGATTGAATGCATTTATTGCTGAGGATGCATGCATGCATGCAAAAACTATGGGTCATGTCATTCATGTATGTTTACATCAAAATGCCATGGCTATGATTCTCTAAACAAATAATGATTGTGTGATTTGGGGACAACATTGTGTTTTAAGACATGCCACAAAGTTTGGTTTAAATCTAAAACGACACACAATAATTTATAAAGGTGCGCATTACACTTCGATACATAGATTTCCTATCTTAGTAACGATCAATTCAATTGGTTTAAAATTTCAATTAAGGCTCACATATGGGTCGATAAATAAAATAATTTAACAATTCACTAAGGATGTTGACTACTCTTGGTCGCAATGTTAACATTTTAAGAAAGAATTAAGTACTAAATATAGTTTTATTGTTTCAAAAGTTAAAATAATCAATTCGGTTAGTTTGAAGCTCAGAGTGTATATATATTAGGGTTTAGGGTGTCGCTTTGAATGTTGCCATTTGAAATGAGATTAATTAAGAAAATGGGATTAATTAAGAAATTTATTTAGAGGGCGTTTGGTGGGGATTAAAATTAGATTTTTAATAGATTGTGATATAAGTTTTTGAAATGTATGATTAAAAAGTTGTGGGACCCATAAAAGATGTGGTTAATAGAGATTGTTTGAGCTTGACTTAAATTAAAATCAAATTTTAATTCGGACCAAACATGAGCTTTCTATATAAATAATTAAAAATAAATTGATTACATACTATTAATAGCTCCACAAATGTTTAAATTTGAAGGAGTTGGATTGACAGCCTACTAACCCTACACTTTTTGTGACAATTGAAAGCATCTCCCAATTCCCACCACCATCCATTTGATTAACTCAAAAAGTCAAAATAAATCCAAGAGAAGGAGAAAAGTAAAGCAATGTACTTTTAGATTTCAATAGGTTGACATACATTACATTAATTACTAATAAAATTTTAATTTATGTCCTAAAAAATAACTTCTAATTGTTGTCAAGCAAGTCCTATGAATTGAAGAGTTGCAGTAAAATGAGAGAATCATAAAACATTTCAAATTCAATTCATATCAAAGTTTAATAACATCTTGATAAAGTTTATAGTGAGATTTAATGATCACTTCTATAGTGTAAAAAATCACCCAAACTGATATATAATTCAATGAATTCAAACATGTATCTTCATCTCTCTCTTTTTATTGTAAATGGCATGTAGAGGATTCTTGAAATTCACGAACTAGACGACAAATATCTCGAAACTACAATGCAATAACGCATTCTAAGAGAACACACATCACTATATCTTTTGGTCCGTTTGATAGCATGAAATTATATGAAAAATCTCACATTTGAGGAAAACGAATTTCACTTCGACCTTTTGATTGCAACATAGAAATAAAAACTGAATTTCAAGGTACAATCACTTTAAGTTGCATTTTCTTTGTTTTCATGGAAAGCGAATTTTTATGAATTTGATGAATTTTTATTTTCCAACTATCATGAAATTGAAATTTCTTTTTACANATTTTCCAACTATCATGAAATTGAAATTTCTTTTTACATTTCCCTATCAAATTCAAATGGACCCTTATTGTTTTTGATTTAATAGCTTTCCTTTTGGTTGTGTAGGAAAGGGTTTTTGAGAGGGTAGAGGCCCCCACCAATGGGGCAGGCCCACTTAGGCATGTTCCCTTATCCCATTGAGTGAATTCGCAAAATTAAACGAAAGGTGGAAGCTACCTTTCCAGCTGCCCCATGGGCCCACACTAATTGGGCCCCATTTTTTGTCATGCTCATGCACCAATACCAAAAGTGTCTTGAGTTGAGCCTTCTTCAAGCCCCACCATGCAAACTTAATTCCTTTCTCTCGTCTCTTCTTGAAAAATTGTGTGCCTTTGCTTCCATTTTACATCTCTCTCTCTCTCTCTCTCTCTCTCTCTCTCTCTCTCTCCACAAAAAAAAACACATAGCCCCACCATGCAAACTTAATTCCTTTCTCTCGTCTCTTCTTGAAAAATTGTGTGCCTTTGCTTCCATTTTACATCTCTCTCTCTCTCTCTCTCTCTCTCTCTCTCTCTCTCTCCACATACATAAACACACATGTCATAAGGGCTCTAATCGTATCATATATTATTAAGCTAAAATTTGATTTTTGAGTTGATGATCACTCGGTATCCTCTTATTTCAAATACGAATTTTACAAAATGTGATAGTTAACTACCTAACCAGTGTAAGACAAATGCTGTGAAATCATGTGAATGGAAACATGGGCCGCAATGAATGTCGATAATGAAATAAGAATATGTAACATAACAATTCTAATGTTAAGACTTGATTTGTAAGTTTATAATCGCTCAAACACGGTCTCTACAACATGGTTGACACATATGTATGCATGCATGTATGAAAGGAAGAGAGAGAGAGAGAGAGAGAGATTATTTGGGGTCCATGTATATGTAAATGATAAGGGTTGTAAAGGTTGTCATGGAAACAAAGTTTGATTGGATGCTCATGCAAGGGAAGACCCTAAAAATTCCTTTTGCCTCTAATAATACCCCTAAATCTTATTATAATGCTTTGCTATGATTATGAGTGATGCCAAAGAATATGAATTTTATTCGTCAAAATGTCCTAAATCGGACAAATAGTAAACCAAGATTGATTTTATGGTTGAAAGAGACCACACAACTAACCAATGACGCCAAATCAAAGTCAACATCAAAACACTGTTAGACTGTGTCCTAATTTTGTTAATTAGAAATGCATATTCCCAAAAACGACACTATAATGATTAGTCCCTAAGGAAAATAAAATAAAATAAAATTTCCATTGCAAGACGTTGTTCAAAGCATCAAATGCTCTTTCTTCACGATCATTGGTTGAAAATAACATAAGTCACACATTTAGAGTTTATCGTTACCCCAAACATGTTCATAATCTTATCTAGTACCGTATTACACATGCGTTTTATACTCCATAAAATTCACGAAATGCACGAAAGAAATTAAACCCAAAAAGAGTGGAATGATGTGTGCAATTAAACCCAACTATCATCACGACCGACACGAAGAAAATAAACCGAATAGGTAACGAGCATCGGAAGCTTCTGTGGAAGCTACTGCCCTACCAATTAATCTCACCATAAAGGGAGAAAATAAGACCCCAAGAAAACATCCACTTCATCAACCCAAAGTTTTTGGTCAAAGCGACTAACTTATTGTGTGTATTAACGATAATGATAACATGAAGAATCATTCCATAAACCTTAACAGAACATAATCGGGTTGCTAATCTCAAACTAATTCATTAGGTTATAATAACTTGGTCTTTCCCTTCTATCCATAAAAACTATTCATTGTTGTTCTCCCTTCTCATAAAATGATTTATCTCTTGTTGTAATATGTAGTTCATATAGAGCGGAAAGCATGAATGCTGAAAAAATAGGACAATGCTAGAGCGACGCATACTAAACGCAATGGACTGGAACAACGGCATCGACCTTTCAGAATTGTAATTTATTGTTTGTTAGCCAGGGATGCTTAATAGGTTGGGGGTGCAGGGGCAATGCCCCGCGGCATGAAGATCCGCGTCTTCATGTTTTGATAGGTGAATAAGACCGCATAAGTCACCATGTTATAGTGGCACTAATATTTTGTATCAAAGCACAATTTGGATTGAATCAAGTGGATGAAGTAATCGAGGAATGCAACGACAGGCCAGGAGGCAATCCCATACAATACCTTACGGGGATTGATTACTTTATTCTCAGACTCAGCCTTTGCACAAGATTGTCGACGTCGCAAGATGCCATGATATTGCTTTGCATTGACAAATACAGGCTCCTCAACCACATCCGATGGCAAAGGCACACCAGCTTGCTGAATTCCCATCAACTGAAGGTGGAGTTGAACTCAAAATTTCAAATCACAGGTTAGTTCCATTGAGATGACTTTTATCACAAGAAATACCGTTGGTTGGGAGATAAGGCTGTGCTGGGTAAGGTTGTGCATCATAAGGAGCAAATATACTTCTATAGTAAGGATCTGAATATGGATAAGGTGTTTGTGCCTGCAGTATTTAATTTTTCAAAAGGAGTGATGAAGAATGAGAACAAGTAATCATCAGTGCTCACCATTCAGCTTAACATCACTAAATCAGAACTTAAGCGTAAAATTAGCTAAATATATCTCAATAGCAGCACTTCTAATTGTCAGGATGGTATACTGGCGGTTGCATTTTTAAAATAAAAAAAGTGCTTCAATTAGTACCACAGCATTTTCAGCTCCAAGTTGAGCGGGCATTGCATAATTCATATTTGGAAATGCAATACCAGAATGAGATGTCGCATCAGACTGGATCTGAGTCTCTGAGTACTTTCGTTGCTCATCGGCCTCACTATTATCTGCATAACACCAATAAAACACACAGAATTTACGCATAAAAACTAACTCCGGAGGAGAGATTTAAAAGGTTCCAAGTTTCACGTAAAAAAAAGATAAAATTCCTAAGTGATTCCAATTATGTTCAAAAAGTAGAATGAAGAGATGAAACTCTGCCCCCAGTAAATCAGCTATGTGATTGCAACATTATAGGCCAAGCACGAGTACTTTTTTCGAAAGGTAATTGAATCAATTTTGTGTTATAAAGACTATGACAAACAACAATGACATCACCGAACCAGATGCAGTTTAACCACTAACATTGTTCTTTAATTGTTCTCTATTTGAGAGCAACCATGAATATGGAATAAAAAAAATGCTCTCTCCCCTTCCTTCACTTTCTTCTCCAAGAAGCGAACGTAGGTTATGAAATCAATCTGATTGATTTTTTGATCGAAAGTACCATGTGACACACCAAATTGTGATGCCGAAAAGGTCATTGTCCGTACACCATTACTTCATTGCTTCATCTTTTCAGAAAAAAAAAATGCATTGCTTCATGAGGAACGTGTACGGTATATCCCTAACATCATTTTTGTCTCACATGCCATCCCAGTCTCAAGTTCAAAGACATGAGTCTGCTGAGTGCTGAATAATATCATCTAAATTCCTTACTGCCTTATAAAATGAAAGTGCATCTATTTGAGTCATACATACATTATAATCGAAGAACTTCAATACCAGAAGAGCTGTGGCTACCAGTGTCAATTGGTCATCGATCATGATTGGCGACCTTTACATATAGATATGTTAATGATTAAAGTTGATCTATTAGTCACTATTAGTCAGTGAATAAGCGTATCTCAGGATTTTTCAATGCATAAACTACTATATCTTACGTTTCCAATGACGAGTCACTGGTTCAGATATGTTTCCAATAAAAAAACTATAACATTAGTGTATCCAATCACTAATCATCACATGTGTTACGTAGGACGATTACGACGGTGAATGACTGCAAATAACATTACTCGTAGTAAAAATACAGTTTCCGATAATATCCAGGAATAAACATGATTCATTTTCGTGAAATTTAAAAAAAAATAAAAAAATCAGCTGCATCAAATTTTCAATTGAATTGCAAGATACTAACCGAATAATTACATTAAAAACCACAAGCAAAAGGGAAAATGGAACCCTAAAACCTAATTCAAATCATCATTTATATATTTTAATTAAATTTGAAATTTAGGGTTTGTAATTAGGATAATTTTCACCTGAAGAATATTCAAGGGATACCATATTATGTCTCTCTATAAAATTCTAGCTCCTGAGGGCTTTTATTCTCTGCGGGTGAATGGAAAGTGAAAACAAATCTGCTATACTGTTGGGAGGGTTTGACATCCTCCGAACGAAACACTAGAGAAACACTTTTTTAGAATTTTTTATTCATATGTTGATTTCACTCCCATATAAGAAGTGTGTGTCAATCAGGATGACAAAAATTTTTCTGGCAAAATAGCTTAAATCAAATGAAAATGACTCTGTAAAAAAAAAAAAATACAGACGAGCACTTGTTAATGGCAATTGAAATTATAATTTTTTATCTAGAGCTTGTTTGGGAGAGATTAAAATCGGATTAAAATTGAAAAATTAGCCGTTATTGTTGACTTTTATTAGACGAGTGAGACCCAATAACGACTATATTTTCAATTTTAATTCGATTAAAATCCCTCCCAAACAAGCTCTGAANCACATCAATACTTTTTTTTTTCTTTTTCAACCACACATTTCCTATCATATCACTATTCAAAAATCAATTCTTCCCCCAAAAATCCCTATCAAATACACTCATAATAGGGAAGCAATTTTTTTGGCCATTTTTATTCACGTGGGATCCACTCTTGTATGAGTGTAGGTCAAACAGAGTGTCAACTTCTTTATATCAAAAAGCTTAATTCAATCCATTTTTACTACGAGTAATGTTATTTGCAGTCGCTCACTGTCGAAATTGTCCTACGTAGCACATATGTGATGATTAGTGATTGGATACACTAATGTTATAGTTTTTTTTGCCTAATACATTAAGAGGGTGTTTGGTGTGGATTAAAATTACATTTTTAGTGGATTGTGATATAAATTTTTGAAATGTGTGATTGAAAAGACGTGAAACCCGTAAAAGATGTGATTAATATTGATTGTTTGACTTTGATTTAGATTAAAATCAGATTTTAATCCGATCCAAACATGCCCTAAATAATTAATGCTACATGTATGCCACGCAAGACAATTACGATAGTGAGCGACTACAAATATCATTATTATTTACCATTTTTAGCTTCAGTAATTTTGAGAAAAGAAATGGAAAAACAACCCATTTGGCATCGAATGTGGCGGAATTGACTAACGTTATAGAACTTCAATTTCATATCAAAACCTTTTGTCTCAAGAAACGTTGAATCTGTTACACTTATAAATTACATGTCATCGACTATTTATTGTATTGGGTTTATTAAACTAAATAATTCGCATCTTGGACTGGCCCATTACCCACGCGACCCGTTTACATTTTCCTATATATATGTGAGTTTCATTCACAATAACGTATGATTTCTATCCAAATTCCATCCCCATCGATTGCACTCTCTTTTTCTTTCGTCCTACCGTTGACTTGACCTTTATAGTGCAAATGGTCGTCAGACTTTTTCTCGACCGGTGATCTTTGTCTCCTAATAGGGTGTTTCAATGTGCAGATGATGTCTACATGGAGCGAGGGTGGAAGAGATTTTGTTGACGCATTTTTTGAGGTCAACAGAATCTGCTACTTTTATTGCATTGGTGTCTACATCACATAAAAATAGTCTCGAACTACGGATGAAAAAAGAGCGGTCTCTATCTATTGATCATAAAATAACGGTGACTATGTCTTCCCTTCGTTATATTTTGCTCTTATTATTTATAAAGAAATTTATAATCTTTTTTCTTTTGGACAAACGTTATAGAGATTTGCCGTGTGTTACAACATTACCTCACTCGACATCATTTTCACATCTCTCAAATATCAAAAGTGACATTATATGTATATATGAAACTCAATTGTATTTCTCTAAGTATAATCTTACTTGAGTATTGTAATGAAGTATCTATGAACATTATGCTCCACCCTCTTTTTTAATTTCGATGACCAAGTAATAAGAACGTTGTACGTCCCTTCTCTCGATAGGTTGTGCAAAAGTGGGTTGACTCTGTTCCTGATGTCCCTCCAACGTTAGAACTAAAATACTTTTAGTATAATATTTTTGAGAGAAACTTAAAAAACAAAAATGTACGAAAAGATGTTAAAAGTGTTTGTCACCTTACCTTAAGTGCATTGAGTGCCCTCATATAGACAACCATGGGACAAGTGGCAAAAAGACCTTGAGGATGTATGAAACACTCGCCGCTTCATCTAAGGATTCAAGGAGACGTGTGGTTGGTTATTTATTAAATAAGTGGTATCTCAACATCTTGATGGATATCGTAAAAGCCAAAAAGGTGGACAAGTATTGTCACGGGGTTATCTCGTTCATGAATGAGGATGTAAACGGCTAGTTCGATGGATGGGGCCGATACAAGACATCCGATTGTATGGCTCGTGGGTAGGTCCTTCCCAAATCAACCCATAAGTTGAATGAGGAGGGGGTCGTGTCCTCTTTCCTACTAAAGGTGAGTTGGAGAGAGAATGGGGAGAGTCCGTCCTCCCATCTCACTTTGCCACGTGGTTGACCGAGAAGTGGCCTCCTACTTGGTGGCGGACCCAGCACCCGGCGAGGGGGGATGGCCGCGAGTTCTGGGCTCCGCCGGAGCAATGCACAAGGATAAGGAGGAAGAAGAAGAACGGTGCGCGGGAGCAGTGGCGAAGTGAAAACTAAAGTTACAGAATTGGCGCTGTGAAGATAGGGAAGAAGGAGAGATGGAGAAGATGAGTTATTGGACTTTTTTTTTTTGAGCAGCGAACGAGGTGAAAACTGAAGTTACAGACTTATCGGCACCGTGAAGATAGGGAAGAACGAGAGATGAAGAAGATAAGTTGTTGCTTGTTGGACCTCTTTTTTTTAATCTGGGCTTTTCTTTAGTTGGGCCCCTTTTTTAAAATAATGGCCCATTAAGTGAATTCAAGTGGGATAAATTGCATTGGCTTTGCTGATTGCACTGCACGACAGTTTTGATTTCACAACCCATAGAAGCCAAACGCCCAATTCCAAACTCTATATTCTACCTCCCGTCCCGAGTCCTATTACATCCCACTATTGCAGCCGCATGCCCGACAAATGCACGCCGCCACAATTGGTAAGTATTTCTTTACAAATTAATATGTGCCTTTTTATGTGGAATGATTTAGCCAAGATGAACGTGTTTTCACCATTTCGAGTTGAGATAAGTAGATTCTGGTGGAAATTTGAAAATGATAGTTGGAAAATTATGTTTATGGCTACAATCAAAGATTGTGGTTTTGTCCAAATTAGAATGATTGAGATTTGAAACGTAAATCTTAGGTGAATATTGGAGGATTTTGGAACAATTGATAAGGCTTGAGATTGAATAAATTATTTAATTGAATCAACCATAAAATTAATAGCATTTAGCATATGCTAAGAAGAACACAAAATCAGGGGTTTCAAATGGCTGGAGATGAATTTAGCATATGCAAATTACAATGGGAATTTGTTTGTAGTGTTAGTTAATTTTTATAATCTATATTAACCTAAAATATTTTTTGTGCGGTTGAAGATGACCGTTACCCTCGATTACTAATGTTTGGGTTGTTTCGTCTATTAAATTTGTTGGTTTTTGCAGGGTGGGGGTGTCATTTTTATGTGGCCTAATTCATAATGGAATTTCCTCCTTGAAGCAGCCAAGAGAGGTCAAGCTTTGGAACTTGATAAAGTGAGTTGCACTTTCTTATACAATGCAATTTCAATGGCAATTAGGTTTTAAATTTCTTGAGTTCGCAATGTACAATACCAATAATCATGTTCATTTATTCTTAGAATTTTTGCTAAACAGAAGTCACAATGACCTTAACCAAAGATATTATGCTTCTTTAAAATGAGAAAATAAACTGCAAAAATAAATATTGGTTGGATTATCTCGTGCCAAGAAACGGAACTAAGAGTAGATTAGATTTCACAAGGTGCATTTCTGCAGCAATTTAGTATGATTCTAAAATTGCATATACTCACAATGATATTTTTAATATTCTATTTTTAAAGTATTTTTAATGTTAGACAGTAAAGTATGAAATTTGATTAGACAAGAAGTTTATAAACTCCCGAGAACTAATTTAGTAGAACAAACTTCGCTATTACGACCATTGATTGTCGACGGTCAATAGTCAACGACTAATGGCCGCCCTAGTTGACCTGTAATCCTGGGTCCGCCACTGCTTCTAGTCTCGCTTGACCATACGTTTGGGCGAGAAGGGCACTCTTATATCTTCCTTGGTGCTGCATGCGAGATAAGAGGTGGTGAGTCTCCTTCAATACCTCTACTATGGACTAACTTGTTTGCCTTACGTTGGGATAGATTAGAACTTGCTTGTCCGCGGAAGACATGGGCACAATCAAAGCCTATCCTAGATTCATACTAAGAAGGATGTGGTTTTTTCATTTATTGAAAAAATTAAATAAACATTGATTTTAACTTCTGTTTTTTTTTATTAACCTCAATTCTCTAGTTTTGAACTTTAAACTTTACTAATCCCCTCGTGCTACTCGGGAGCCATTAAACAAAAAGCAGATGGACCACTTGCCTCCTGCTCTCTGTCCCTTTTCATACAGAATTGCTTACCCCCTTTTCGCCTCATTTGCTTTGTTTTCTTCCCAACCTTATTTTACACAAATATGATGACTCAACTGTAAAATTTATCAATTTTTAAAATACTCCAAGCATCATAATTAAGTGTCTTTTGGGAGGATTAAGGGATCTTCTAGTGCGAATAACTTCCTGCCCCGCTCTTCTTTCAAGTCCTACGCAGTAACGCATAATTCCCCTTGCCTTTTAGTTATTCTATTTTTGGTGAGTGTTTCTTAAAAGTCAAATCATTTTTAATTTATAAATTCACATATATTATTTACTTATTCATAGTTTACTTTTATTTTTTGATAAATGTAAATAATTATCAAATATATAATAAGTCAAATTTGAGAATAAATAAGTTGCTTATTTCAATAACATCTTTCTTTTTTACTATAATAGTTCATTCAAATACACGAGTAGACATACAGATGTATATTCTTAGTAACTCATTCTTGGACACATTAGTGTCATGGATTAAGCTATTTGTACAGATTTATTTATACATTTCTTTACAAAATGCTGAGTTGACGAGCACTTTCATATTAAATTAGGAAGGTAAACATTCGTCATGTTAGTATCTGTAAAGCTTTCTATAAATGAAATCTTTACAAGCAGTTTTATTCGGAGTGTCATACTATCTCTGACACGCTTGTTGATGTAAAAATTATTTAAAATTCATTTTTCTAATATGCATTTTTTTTTTGAATATGAAACAAATTTCATTGAACATCGCAATAGCCAACGGTACACGGAGTAAAAACCTCCAACACAATGCCCTGCAAAGAGGGTTTAACCACGACATTTTATAAATCCACCGACTTATAATATCAAAAAGTTTTGTCAAACAAGGGTTTAGTACACTCACTAATTTTTTATTCACTCGAGGGAACAAATTACTCAATCCTAGATCAATAATACCCTTTTTTATAATTTTTTTGCTACTCATCCGAGGTTCGAATCACTAAATTCCAGCACAGTAAACCTTTTTTTTATCAACACTTACACGAAATTTTAATTTCACATTTTTTACATAAATTGATTTAAAAGTATATGTTACCCCTCGATTCCGAGGTCTAAAGGAGCAAAGCCACGTAGGCAAGACAGTCAACAAAAAGTCAAAAGGAGGCCCAATAGGTCAAAGATCCCAGTAAAGCATTAGGCCGAGATTATGTGCCACGCACATAATATGAAGGATCCTCTGAAAGATAGCATGGGATTCAGTCCAGGGAGCCTCGGGTTGGAGGCCCTCATGTGACGAACCTCAGACTGATGCACTCCCTTAAGGCACGATCCAATCCGAGGCTACTACAAGGTCCGTCGAAACCCATAAGCCAACGTCGCCTCAACAGATTCAAAGATTTCTTAGAAATGATTGATGGGACGTCCTAGTAAAAGTGTCAATAACTTTTCTATGGTGTTGTCAGCCTACTTCTAGTGCGGCTGACTTCTAT